TTTTTTTTTTTTTTTTTTTTTCCTTTTAATATTCAATTACCTGTCGAATCTGGACAGGACGGCCTTTCAGGCCCCTTTGTTTTTGTTGTCAGTATAGTATACGGGGAACCCCGTAGCAGCCGCATCCGTGCTCAAGCCTCCAATGAGGGGACACGCGGGAGCTACACCCACCAGCAGGTTGATACCTGCTTCAGCAGGTGGGCGATATCGGCCAGGGGTCGGCCGGTACCATCAGGACTGAGAGGGCCGGTCGCTGTGCCTCTCTTCCGGTGGTGGTCCCCCCCCCCTATGAACACCAGGAGTCGCTGCTCAATGCCACTTCGGGGGACCACCAACTGCCCAAGGATGAAAAAAAAAAAAAAAAGAGAAACTGAACAACAAACTCGAACCGGTTACTGCCAATCGTAGAAGTGAACACTTCTTTATGAAAGGAAAAAAAAAAGTAGAAGGAAAAAAATAAATAGAAGGGGCAAGTACGTTGGAGTCGCACCCGACGCGCAGAATAGGCAACTTCAGCAGTTCCCGAGAATTGAGCAGAAAAGGTGACCCCTCTAAATCTGCCAAGCGCCACTGTGGGCAATGACTGGTGGTGCAGTTTTAGACCCCCTCCGCTAAACTTCGCACATTTGTGCAAAACTCACATTGTGACATCGGCGGCGCCGCTTTCGTCTTTTCTTGCCTCATATTTCAAACCAAAAGTGTGCCACAGACACAGATTCCCTAAAAAGGGACGGGCAGGTGGGTTTGGGAAAAAGCAGGCGAACAGCTTTTCAAAAAAACAAAAACAAAAAAAAGAAGCAAAAAACGAACAATTCCCTGCTGCCAGCTGCCCCTGATCACCCTTCCTGATGTGGTCATGATCTTTATAAAAATTATTGTCCCCTTCCCCCCCCTATCTGGGACTCTCTCGTCCTTTTTTTTTTTTTTTTTTTTTAAGCCAAACTAACGCTTGTATCCACGGAAATACTCTGTGCATCGAGTCTTGCTTCTTGGCGTGGGTGTTGCACCGGTCCCTCCCAAGTCATGGACCTTTCATTTGAATTTGATTGTTACCCCCTTTTTTTCATTCGAATTTGATTGGGGCCCCTTCCATGGTGCCAAAAGATCTTCCCTGCACCCAGCTTGTTCTTCACTTTTTTTTTTTTTTTTACTTTTTTTTTTATTATCCCTGAATCAGATCATGATGTCCTGTTGTTGTGTGTTCATTGTATTCATTGTATACTATTACCTTGTTTCATTGCTGGGACAGCCAGATTTGTGTGCTTACTTTTGTTGTCGGATGATTCAGATTGATTGGTGCTAATCAAACATCAGATACAGGCCGGCGTTTGGAATTGATAGGCACACACACACACACACACACACACACACACACACATACACAGAGAGAGAGAGAGAGAGAGAGAGAGAGAGAGAGAGAGAGAGAGAGAGAGAGAGAGAGAGAGCTCCTCGAATCTGTTCTTAGATTAGGGTTACGCGTTGGAATAGGTGAACCAGTAGTAGGGGTTTATTGGTGCTAATTTTCACATGACATTAGGGTTCATTTTCACATTAAACTAGGGTAAATGTAGATACGGCTGTTTATTTAATTTTTTTTTTAGTTTTTCCTTTTTTGTAGTGGCTCTGCATGGTGACCCGGAGGCCCCCTCTTCGTSGTGGKGGKGG